AGCACTCCAGCCTGGGTGACAGAGCAAGACTCTGTCTCAAAAAAAAAAGAAAAAAAAAAAAAAAAAGCCAATTGCCAGTAGCTGCGGGACTAATTTGTTCTATTCTGAAAGAAATAAAAAGTATCCACCAGTGTCTCTATTTCATTCATATCGTATAGAATGTTAGCAAACTCTAGAGGCTTTTCTATCAGACTCTGTGTTTGATAATTTGGCATAATCTAGATTTACCTGACTTGATAAATGGAGTCAATTCAGTTCCAGGCTGTATTAATAAGTGGCATACAAGAAAGTTTCTTTATAGTCTCCAAACTTAATGAAGAACTCAAAAGAACTACTTTAATCTTTACCTGTGGTAATGTACTTGTCTCAAAAAAGAAAATAAATCAGTTTTTGTGTATTTTTACAGTGTTTTTTGTATTTTTGGTATTAAAATTAAATTTTGGTTAGGTAAGTAGTTAATGAAAACCTTTTTCTAGTTTCTTAAAGTAGGTTATTAGGTCACTAATTTTAATCTTTTCTTCTTTTCTGACGGAAGTATCTAAAGTTGTACAAATAGAAACATGGTAGCTAAAGCTCAAGTCACCCTTAACCAAACTCTATACCTTGTGCTTCCACCAATCCTGGTCCTTGGCGCTTCTCAGAAATTATCAGACTGGTGTGTTTTCTGCCAGTTTTATTTTTATGTATTTACATACCTGCGTATGTTTTTATAGAAAATACATAGTATTTTGTGAGTATTGTTAAAATACTATAAGGATCCACAACTTCTTTGATTTACTCAAAAATACTTCTTGAAGATCTACCCTTATTGGCTTGTGTAAGTCTACTGCATTCTTCTAGTTTTGAGGTTTTGCCTTCAAGTTTAGTATTTACTGTAATTTTCTGGTAGGTATACTTTATGAAGTTTTTTAAAGTTCTATTTTTGACTTTCCAAAAATTTTTTATTGTTTTAAATTTTAAATGATAAATATCAAATACTTTTCTCTGTTTATTGAGATGACCATATAGTTTTTATTCCTTTATTCATGTAGTGAATGATGACACATTGTCAAATGTTGATCTGTCCTTGGATTTCTGACATAACTACTGAGTTATGAGTACCTCTTTGGTCAGATCCTGTAGGTTTTAACATATGCTATTGTCATCCCACATTATTTTGAAGTATGTTTTAAAATTTTTTAGATAGCATTTGCCTGTGAAAACATCTGGGCTTGTAATTTTCTTTCATAATGAATTCAACTTATTTTAAAGATATGGGACTATTCATAATGTCTGTTTCATCTTGTGTTGTTTGGTAAGTTATATTTTTATGGAATTTGTTCATTTCGTCTAAATTGTCAAATATCTTGGTATAAAGTTGTTTATAAATACCGTCTTCCTAGCCTTTTAATGTCTGTATGATCTGTTGTAATAGCCCATTTTCGTTCCTGATTTTGGTGGTTTGTGTTCCCTTCTTCATCAGTGTAATTGAGGGTTTGTCAATCTTCAAAGAAACAGCTTTTGGCTTTATTACTTTTCCCTGCTTAATTTTTATTTTGTTGACCTCTGTTCTTGTCTTTTTTCTTTCTTTTTTTATTTTTAGTGATGGGGTCTCACTATGTTGCCTGAACTGGTCCTCAAGTGACCCACCTGCCTATGCTTCCCAAATCATTGGATTTACAGGCATAAGTCACTGTGACCAGTCATATTCTTATCTTTAGTATTTTATGTTTTCTACTTACAGTGGGTTTATTTTTCTCTTCTTTTTCTGGTTTGTCAGAATAAAATATTAGGTCACTGATTTTGGTCTTTCCTTCTTTCATTTCTATAGAAGCATCTAAAGTTATAACTATCCTTCCAAGCATTACTGTAGCCAAATCTCAGGAATTTTGATATGTTGTATTTTCATTATCATTCAGTACAAAATATTTTTAAAATTTCTTTGTGATTTATGTTTTTAATCCATGAAATATTTAGAAATGTGTTTTTAATTTCCAAATATTTGGGATTTCTAGATATCTTATTGTAACTGGTGTTTAGTTTAATTCTGTTGTGTCCGAAAACATGAGTTCAATTCTTTTAAATTTATTGACTTGTTTTATGTCCCAGCATGCACTCTATCTTGGTGAATATACCATGTTCAGGTAAAAGGAATGTGTATTCTGTAGTTGTTGGGTTTAGTGTTCTATAAATATCAAGTAGGTCATTGGTTCATAGTGTCTTTTAAATCGTCTGTGTCTTTATTGATTTACATAACATTTTAAATACAGATGAATGAAGAATGACAAATTGACAGTTTTATAATATATCATAGATAGCAAGCAAAAGATTGGCCATGATGGGCATGGAGATGTGCTGCTATCCAAAATTATTCTCTTCTTCTGACTCTTTTTCCCACTTCCTGTTGTTTCCAGTTTCCCCAAATACTTTACCCAATTGAAGATACGAATGTATGTGCTGTGTTTTTCCATTTAAAGCCCATTTATGCTATAAATTACAAAAATACTATGTAGGAGAAATGTTCTTTTTTGAAAAAAGGTATAGCTCACTGCAGCCTCCAACTCTTGGGTTCAAGCAATCCTCCCTCCTTATCCTCCCCAAGTAGCCGGGATTACAGGCACACACCACCATGCCTGGCTAATTTTTTAATTTTTAATTTTGTAGAGATGGGGCCTCACTATGTTGCCCAGGCTTGTCTTGAACTCCTGAGCTCAATCAGTCCTCCTGTCTCGGCCTCCCAAAGTGCTGAGATTACAGGCGTGAGGCACAGCACCTGGCTGGTAAAATCATCTTTAACATCAGTGTCCTAAATATCTATAAATAGGGCATGTATGCCTGCACAGATTGTAACTTCCAGAGTTCAAAATGAGATTAACTTGATTTTTAAATAATTTATTGAACCCCTACTATGTCCTGAGCTCTAGTGCAGGATACAGATACTAAACACATAAATAATGTCAGACAGTGATTAATGCTGTGAAGAAAATAAGGCAGGATAATGAGAAGAGAGTGGGCTGGATATCTTATGTAGCCTTTCCAGAGCCACTGTCCACACCCTGGGGGATTGACTGGCTTGCACAACAACAAGGTCCCTTGTCTTCCTGCTTCCAAGTGGATTCGACCAGTGGAGAGCACTGGCAGGGAACTTCAGGAATAGAGGAGAGTGAGGTGCTGGTCTCTGTGTACTGGCTGTATCCCAACCTAAGGTCCTCTCCATGTAGTCTTCTGTGTTTCCGGGTTTCATTCAGGCCTATGGATGGTAACAGCTCTCTATTAATTGTCAACTCCATGGTTCTATACAATCTCCCTGTGGTTTCCCTTCATTCTGTCCATGCTGTTACACAATTATTTTCAAATGTCTTATTTTGCACGTGTTATCTGTTTCCTGCTGGGACCCCACTCTCTTTATGTGGGTCACATGGTGTGGGATTAGGGGTAGCAATTTTTGATAGGCTGATGACACAAATGACTGAGACCTAAATGACAAGAATGCAACAAACTTGAAAATATTCATGGGGAGATTCTCCCAATGGGAAATGCAAAGGCACTGAGGTAGTGATATGGTTTGGATGTTTTTTTCCCTCCAAATCTCATGGTAAAATGTGACCTTCTGTGTTGGAGATGGGCCTAGTGGGAGGTGTTTGGGTCATGAGGGCAGATCCCTCACCTATGGCTTGGTGCTGTCCTCACCTCATTGAGTGAGTTCTTGCTGTGTGAGT